CATCCACTGAAAGAAGGAGCACTACATCTGACCTAGGAGCACAAGCTAGTCAGGTCCAACTCTCACCCACCCACGCCCACTCGTGCATTTATCTAACCTATTTTTACTTTCCTCTTGAAATGTGAGTGTTAATATGACATGACATCAGTGAATCCTTGGTGTTTGCCACAATATTTGCTCTAGCTGGTGCTCAGTTGAACTGGTGCTCCCACAAGGTACCAAGTTGTCCCAGATTTTTTCATAGTGTGCACACTGAGTGCACAGACCCATTCTTTCATGTCTAGGCATCTCAGGCCTATCACACCAAATTTGAAGGAATAAAAAATAAAAAAAACCATACCACGGGTGGGATTTGAACCTGCAGTCAGAGAGTCTCAAATCCTCAAATCCCGCCTGTGGTATGGATGTTTGCAATCATGTCATTACGATTTCGTGTCATAAAAAATAAAACATTGATCTACATTCGGAGACTGCCGCATGTGAACATGTATCTTCATGTGGACAGTTTAAGGGTTAAATTTTATCATAGGTATGCATGTAAATGAAAAAAGATTTAGGTATTGGGTTCACTACTATCCATGGTAGGTCTTGGAATGTATCTCCAGGAGATATGGGGAAACTACTGTACAGTGGACCCCCGGTTAACGATATTTTTTCACTCCAGAAGTATGTTCAGGTGCCAGTACTGACCGAATTTGTTCCCATAAGAAATATTGTGAAGTAGATTAGTCCATTTCAGACCCCCAAACATACACGTACAAACACACTTACATAAATACACTTACATAATTGGTCACATTCGGAGGTAATCGTTATGCGGGGGTCCACTGTATTTCATACCTGTCCATTGGCCATTGATACATGTTCATCTGGCACTATGCATACGTTTGTGAAGCATTTTCTCCACAATACAAACACATTGTGTACATGTTTTCATGTTGGTGCAGTAGAAATACACTCATGCAACACACCCTCTTGAGAGTGAATGACGCCATGAGTGAAGGCATACTAAGGGAATGTTTTTCTACAGTTACCCCAGTAACTAGAAAGAACATAATTCTTGTAGTACGCTCCTACAAGCCACCCAGTTACCACACCTCACAATTATGTCACTTTGTTCTACTATGGTTATATGTATTATGTGTATATAATATGTAGTGTGTTTCTTATATAATTTTGAAAAAAATGTCAGACATATAAAGTGCTCCTAGTGAGACACTCTTAGCTACTCCCTTGCCTGGCATAGCTACTCCTACTTTGTAATGATGCCAAATAGTGATTTTAATGTACCTGCAATAGTACAGTGTGTAAGTTCTTAGGTACAGGTACACATAAGTACAGTTATCAGTAGTATCTTAGTACTATCTCAGTCATAGATATACGAACTTTGCTTACTGAGTTTAATCGTTTCTAACTTTGCACTTAAAGTAAGAGCCTTACAACTCCTGTTTTTATCACAACTACCCTTAGATGTCATTGTAACATGAAAAGCACATACGTAAAATACACAATAACTTGAAAACACTTGAAACTCTGGAAAGTTTCCAGACATAATCGAGAGCGTGGATGAGTAGTGGGCAGAAGCTATAATAACGAGTCAGGAACCGTATAAACGAAGTTGAAGTGTTCATATTAGCAAAGCACTGTAAAGCGAAGTGCCGTAAAGCAGGGCCCTCCTGTAGATATGTATGTATATATGTATGTTATATAATATACATGTAATGTGTGTATATATATATATATATATATATATATATATATATATATATATATATATATATATATATATATTATATATATATATATATATATATATATATATATATATTATATATATATATATATATATATATATATATATATATATATATATATATATATATATATATTATATATATATATATAATATATATATATATTTATTTATATTCTGTACATAATATTTGTAAATTAACATGGAGCAGTATACATATTTTAATTTTTTTGTGCCCAAACTATCTTAACAATCATACCTTACCTTCTTGTAATTAATATAATATAATTTAGCTTATTTCTACCTAATTCTTGGCTTGCATTGGCCAAAATTTTGTTAAATTATACTAATTTTACAATATTCTGACTTAATTTTGCAGATATATTGCAACAGTGAATACATTAAACTTGATTGGCACAACAATCATTGCTGTATAAGTCAAGATTGCAAGTGCTGCATAAAAAGCGCTACATATAGTATAACACACTGAAAAAGCTGTTTACGTCGTATGTTTGATTAAAATTTAAATATGCAGAGGTGGAATAGTGTCTGCACTTGAAAAAATATCTAGATAAATTAGGATAAGTTTAAAGATGAGCTGCAAAATATCTTCCAGAACTAAATTGATTTACAAAATAAAGCTGAGGACATGAGACCTGCCCACACTGGATGACAGCAGGGAAATAGGAGACATGATAGCATTTTATAAAATTATGAAAGCTACAAAAGAACTGATAAGGAAAATTTTGTCGTAGCATCAGTAGAGAGTTTAATTAGAAGAAGTACTGAAGGGATTCTTGAGTGTTCTTCACAAATATTGTTAGAACAATGAAATATTTACAAAGAGGTTGTAAGTGTTACAGCTGCTGGAAATCTTGATATTTGTGATAAATTAATTGCCAATGACAAGATACTTTGAGCTTAGTTTGGCTCCTGTAACTACAAATAGGTTATTATTCAGTAATTATATAGTAATAGAGAGAGAAAGAAAGACATACAGATTCATAAATACATATACATAGTAGTTAACACATAGTAGTTAACTGATACATATACAAGAACACATCTCAGTAGTGTGTGTATATATTGTAGGTTGATAATTTTGATTGTTATATATTGTACAGTTTTTCTATTGTCAATGCATAAAAATTTTGGTTGGAATAATTATAAAGCTAATTTTTTTTTTAATACATGAAACATGGTCAGTGAAGTATATACATTTTTACTGTAAATAAATATGAGATTGTAAATGGTAAATATTGATAATAAAGCAACCATGCAGCTCAATACCCTAAAACCTATGCTTAATATTAACCCAACAATAACTGAACACACTGACTGGCTGTATCCTCCAGGATTTTCTACCTGTAGATCTGGATAGGGGTTGTCTCCAGGTGTAAAGTAATTTTCCTGGATTACATGCTCACACTCAACATTATTTAAACTTCTATTCCTCTGAAATTGTTCATGCTTGTTGATCTATATTCCAAGACTTTTTTTTTTTTAATAAGGCTTATTTCATAATCTAAGTCATTCAATTCATATTTTAAAAAAATACCTCTACTATAAAATAAAAGACTTTGGGACAACCCTGGGACCAGAGAAGCTCTACTACCATATTTTCTGTGAGTGATTCTAGTTTGTGGGAACTCCTCAAGTGTCCAACTTCTGTTTTTGTGAAATTTGCATTGGTTTCCTGTGGGTTCATTCTCCTGTACATTACAATACCTTGTGTACAGTCTGAGATTGTTTGCTAACTTCTATGTTGTACTGTTGATAATGGATTGTTCCTTTGGTTGTCTAGTGGTTTTATTAACTCCACGTGTTGTTCACTGCTGAATGATTGGCTGGATTTGTGTTTGTACTAATGATATGAAAAAGAAAAATAATTAGAACACTGAAAATAAGTTTGAGGGTGTCTGCTAACTGCGAAAAACAAATTGGCTATACTGTACCCAATTGGATTTACACAAATCTTCACCTCAAAGAAATGAAGGAACAGGGAGAATCTCTTAACACTTACCCTACCCTATTCCTTATCCTTAACCACAGTTTTTTTCTGTTAGCTATATGAAAAGATATTTATTTCTCTTATTTCCTTTACTAATTAGTTGACACAGTTCAATGCATGTTTGTAGAGTAGCACGTAAATCTGCACAAAACTGTTGATTAAAATGTTATTTATGGATTTTGAGGTATTGACTCAGATTCTGTCAAAGACATCCTATTTGAAATTAGACAAAAGAATGTAACTCACAGTTATTTGGAAATTTTAATTTTCATGGATACCAAATCTAATATTATTATACAAATATAATTACAGTGTACTATTGTAGCAGAATTTTTGTTTGCAAAATATTAATTATTTAGTAACATAAATGAAGGATGAGTGAATATATAACATTTAGATATTAATATTTTTTCAAATCAGTCCTTTCAATAAGGCTTGGTGAATCCAAAGAGGCTCTTTTAGTTAAAATTGGAATATAGCTCACATATAAATTACAGTATTTGTTAATGTATTTTGACTACTGCATTTAAACAAAAAATATTGTTCAATATGTATGTATTAGTATTATACAGTATATATAAATATTTTTTTTGTCAAAACATTGTAAGCAAAATTTATTAGAGGAGAGAGAGACAGCATGAGTCAATACACAAACTTTACTTTAAGTTGTTCTTTCCTGTATACATTCCCATGAGCTTGACCTTACATCAATATTCCTTATAACCCCTGCAACCCACTGAATCCACTTCCATCCTCCTATGGAACATGGGAAGGTTTTGAAATCATGTTTATTATGGTTTATCAGACTCGGTAGCATACTTTGCTAAAGTAACATAAGTGTAGTATTAGGGTTATAGCCTTTCCATTCCTAACCTTTCCTAACATCCCAGCTCATCACAGCTTTGTGGGAATGAGTAGCTATGGGAATAGAACTATTATTTTTAGTTACTTTTTTTCTTTTCTTTGGGATTGCATGTGTAGTAATTGCTTGATATTATAGTAGCTTTTTTAGAAATAAGAAATTTTTGTTGTATAGTACTTGGTGATATACTGGTGATATATATGAAATATATTTGAGTAGGTTTGTATAATAATGTTTTCATGACAAAATTCTTTGTGTGTTAAATTTTAGTTCATGATATATATATATGAAATACAAACTAAGTTGTTAAGAGCCATTCTGCATTTTCTTTGATGCATATTTGTGCTAACATATTGTATGTATGAACTTGACAGTACCACCTCGTTGGATTGTGGAGCCAACAGATAAAGCATTTGCTCTGGGAAGTGATGCCAGGCTGGAGTGCAAAGCTGATGGATTCCCTCGGCCCTCTCTTGGATGGAAGAAAGCTGCAGGTATGGCACTTATTTATTTTTATTAACTCATCGGCCGCTGCCAACCAAGACAGGATGACCCAACAAAGAAGAAACACTTTCATCATTCATTCCATCACTGTCTTGCCAGAGGTGTGCTTATACTACAGTTAAAAAAAAAAAAAACTGCAGTACATCAAAACTCCTCCTCTAGAGTGAAGGCACTGTACTTCCCACCTCCAGGACTCAAGTCTGGCTAACCGGTTTCCCTCAGTCCCTTCATAAATGTTACTTTGCTCATACTCCAATGGCACATTGCTTCCCTATCCACCCTATCATATACCTTTTCCAAATCCATATATGCAACAAAAACCTCTCTACCCTTATCTAAATACTGTTCACCTATATGCTTCACTGTAAGCACTTGGTCTACCCACCTCTATCCTTCCTAAAGCCTCCTTGTTCATCTGCAGTTCTGCTCTCCATCTTACTCTTAATTCTTTCAATAATAACTCTGCCATACACTTTACCAGGTATATTCAGCAGGTTTATTTCCCTATATTTTTTACACTGTCTTTTGTCCCCTTTGCATTTATACAAAGGAGCTATGCATGCTCTCTGCCAGTCCCTAGGTACCTTCCTCTCTTCCATACATTTATTAAATAAAAGCACCAACCATTCCCAAACCATATTCCCAGCTGCTTTTAACATTTGTCTTTATCCCATCAATCCCAGCTGCTTTACCCCCTTTTACTTCTACAAGATGTTATACTTCCCTGCCCAATGCATGAAATCATAGCTTCCCTATCTTCATTAACAGTTCCTCAAAATATTCCCTCCATCTTCCCAATACCTCCAACTCTTCATCTAATAACTCTCCTCTCCTATTTTTCACTGTCAAATCCATTCCTTCCCTAGGCTCTCTCAACTTAATCTCACTCCAAAACTTTTTCTTATTCTCCGAAAAATTTGCTGATAGCATCTCACCCACTCTTTCATTTGCTTTCCTTTTACATTCCTTCACCACTCTCTTTACCTTTCTTTTTCTCTCCATATACTCTCTCCTTGTATCATTTCTACTTTATAAAAACCTCTCATATACTAACTTTTTCTCTCTTATCACTCTCTTTACCTCATCATTCCACCAATTGCTTTTCTTCCCTCCTACACCCACTTTCCTGTAACCACACACTTCTGCTGGACATTCTGACACTACATCCTCAACCCTTTCAGGGTCCAGAGGCCAAATTTCAAAGTGCACACCAGGGTCCAAGAATTTTCAAAAAATAATTTTATTTTTTCTTATTAAATAGTAGAGAATCTTTTTCTGAAGATAATAAAAAGTACGAAATTTGATGGAAAATTGACGAAATTATGCTCTCGCGAATTTTGATGTGTCAGCGATACTTATGCATCAGTGATTTTGCCAACTTTGACTCCTATTTTAGGCCAATTACATTATTTCAGTCAACTAAATTTTTAGCTATTTCACTAGTATTGCTTCTATTCTATCGATTGAGCACAAGAAATTCCCAAGTTAACTGTTTCCACCACAAAATAAAGTGATCGGAAATTGGTAATTTGGCCAACTTAATGCAAAGTTCAGAATATGTATTCTAATTTCAAAATAGGGTTCAGGATAAACAGTGCAGACATTCCTGGCACTAAACTAACATTTCCTCTGTTCATTAGTTATGTTTTCAGGCTTTACAAATGAATTCCATTTTGATTTTTAATTCACATAATGAATTTTTATTCAAACCAAAAAATAGAAGATTTACTGTCATGCAATATTGTAATAATTGTATAAATAATATCAGCACATTTGTAAATGTATATTAGACCCACCAGCTGATGTGTATTAGACGTGTGAGGTCATTTGTTTACTCTTGAACATCGGCAAAAATTTAACATTTCCTCTACTTCGAGCTCAGTTTCAAGCCATTTTCAGTACTAAAATCAATCAAAATCATCTCTATCTCTGTAATACTATATCTTCCATTATATCAAATGAGACCAAGAAATCGCAAATACAACTATAAAAAACATACAAAAAACACTGCAAAGTTGCTGTTTTAATCGAGAGTTATGGTCTCAGTTTTTTCTCTCATTATGCACTGTGTGCTGCAGGATTTGTTTTATGTGGTGCACACATACCACATAGATGTATTTTTTCATATCTAGGCCCAAATTTACCGCTCACAGCTTATCAGAGTGAGCTGAGCTCATGGTGTAGATCTACGGTTTGGACCCTCAACGTAAAGCCGTAGATCTATGGCACAGACCCTGAAAGGGTTAAATCTTTCCCCATACTTCTTTAACTTCATTACCTATACTCTCACTAGCCCTTCTTTCTTCCAATAGTTGCCTGCATTTTACCTGAACTACCTCCTCCTATAGTTTATAAACCTTCACCTCTCTCCTACTTTGTTGTAGCCACAACAAAAAAAATGATGCAATGTACACAAATAACCCGCACGTATGAGAGAGGAGCTTGCGACGACGTTTCAGTCCGACTTGGACCATTTACAAAGTGTGACTTGGTAAATGGTCCAAGTCAGACCAAAACGTCATTGTAAGCTCCTCTCTCCTATGTTCGGGTTATTTGTGTATTGCTCCAGTCACAGTATTGTGCCTTTTTGTTATTTATGATGCGATATATCTGTGGCCCCTCTATAAGCATGCACAGCCTGAAATCTACCCATCAGTCTTTTATCTTCCAATACATAGTCCAACAAATTACTGTCATTATGCCATATATCATATCTCATATACTTTTTTATCTATTTTTTTCGTAAAATATGTATTACCTATTGCTAAACCTCTTTCTATACAAAGTTCAGTCAAAGGCCCCCCTCTCCCCCCCATTATCATTTACACCTGGCACTCCAAACTTACCTATCACACCCTCTATAACCATTTCTCCCACTTTAGCATTCATTATGAAAGGAATGTGATATAACTTGCTGATGTCTATACAAATTGCCTCTACACTATTTTTTCAGTTGATTGTAATTTTGCTTAAATTTTTAAGCCAGCCTTTTTCATAAAGATTCTTCACATTCAAGTGCTAAACATTCCAGTTTTAATTATATTAGTTTATAATATGGAAATATTTCTTAAAAGGAATATCTAATGAAAATACGTGTAGTCAGTCTGATGAGATTAACACCTAAGCAACTAAAATTACATCATGTTACTAAATAATAATAATTATTTCTTATACATTATAAAAAATATATTTATGAGATGTGCTAATTAGTATATGTTATCTTTCTGTTTAATATTTTTTTAGTACAACAATACTTTTTTTTTACTGACAAAGACACCTAAACTCTTACATTATTGTATATTATTGTGTAGATCATAAACTAGCATAGAGAAGTCAGACGTGTGGAGGTGGTGATATGTCATGGCATGTTGTGAAGAGTGGTTGTGACATGTTGTGAAGAGTGGTTGTGACATGTTGTGTACAGTGGTTGTGGCATGTTGTGAAGAGTGGTTGTGGCATGTTGTGAAGAGTGGTTGTGACATGTTGTGAAGAGTGGTTGTGACATGTTGTGAAGAGTGGTTGTGACATGTTGTGTACAGTGGTTGTGGCATGTTGTGAAGAGTGGTTGTGACATGTTGTGTACAGTGGTTGTGGCATGTTGTGAAGAGTGGTTGTGGCATGTTGTGTACAGTGGTTGTGGCATGTTGTGAAGAGTGGTTGTGACATGTTGTGTACAGTGGTTGTGGCATGTTGTGAAGAGTGGTTGTGGCATGTTGTGAAGAGTGGTTGTGGCATGTTGTGAAGAGTGGTTGTGGCATGTTGTGAAGAGTGGTTGTGGCATGTTGTGAAGAGTGGTTGTGACATGTTGTGTACAGTGGTTGTGGCATGTTGTGAAGAGTGGTTGTGACATGTTGTGTACAGTGGTTGTGGCATGTTGTGAAGAGTGGTTGTGACATGTTGTGTACAGTGGTTGTGGCATGTTGTGAAGAGTGGTTGTGGCATGTTGTGAAGAGTGGTTGTGGCATGTTGTGAAGAGTGGTTGTGGCATGTTGTGAAGAGTGGTTGTGACATGTTGTGTACAGTGGTTGTGGCATGTTGTGAAGAGTGGTTGTGACATGTTGTGTACAGTGGTTGTGGCATGTTGTGAAGAGTGGTGGCATGTTGTGTACAGTGGTTGTGGCATGTTGTGAAGAGTGGTTGTGGCATGTTGTGAAGAGTGGTTGTGACATGTTGTGTACAGTGGTTGTGGCATGTTGTGAAGACTGGTTGTGACATGTTGTGTACAGTGGTTGTGGCATGTTGTGAAGAGTGGTTGTGGCATGTTGTGAAGAGTGGTTGTGACATGTTGTGAAGAGTGGTTGTGACATGTTGTGTACAGTGGTTGTGGCATGTTGTGAAGAGTGGTTGTGGCATGTTGTGAAGAGTGGTTGTGACATGTTGTGTACAGTGGTTGTGGCATGTTGTGAAGAGTGGTTGTGGCATGTTGTGTACAGTGGTTGTGGCATGTTGTGAAGAGTGGTTATGGCATGTTGTGAAGAGTGGTTATTGCACGTTGTGAAGAGTGGTTGTGGCATGTTGTGAAGAGTGGTGGCATGTTGTGATGAGTGGCTGTGACATGTTGTGAAGAGTGGTTGTGGCATGTTGTAAAGAGTGGTTGTGGCATGTTGTGAAGAGTGGTTGTGACATGTTGTAAAGAGTGGTTGTGGCATGTTGTGAAGAGTGGTTGTGACATGTGAAGAGTGGTTGTGGCATGTTGTGAAGAGTGGTTGTGGCATGTTGTGAAGAGTGGTTGTGGCATGTTGTGAAGAGTGGTTGTGGCATGTTGTGAAGAGTGGTTGTGGCATGTTGTGAAGAGTGGTTGTGGCATGTGATGAGTGGCTGTGGCATGTTGTGAAGAGTGGTTGTGGCATGTTGTGAAGAGTGGTTGTGACATGTGAAGAGTGGTTGTGGCATGTTGTGAAGAGTGGTTATGGCATGTTGTGAAGAGTGGTTGTGGCATGTGAATAGTGGTTGTGGCATGTTGTGAATAGTGGTTGTGGCATGTTGTAAA